AGTGATCAGACAGTCCGGCCTTGGCCGTTCAACTGCTGGAAGGATGATCAGATGGACTAGACATAATAAGGATAGTACTTGCTTGTTTTGAACTTATCGTGGAAATAAAACTTAATCTCCAGTCAATCTTGAACATTTACTGATACTAAACTGCAAAAATGACTCTCTCATTAACATATGACAGCCCACGTTTACATATCAACACCTACTTTGAACGATTAAAGAGTTACACAGGAGATCTCAACGATGTCTAAAACTGTGCTCAGGTTTGCCAAGATACAAAAGTCTGCAATCAAAAGGCAAAGATCACAATATTATTAAAATCCAGCTTTTAATGTTGTTTATATGTCTATGTGGTGTTTTTAATATGCTTTAAGACAAACCATGCATGTGCAAATTCATAAGTCGACAGCATTGCTGAGTATTTCCTCCTTAAAACTGCAGTGAATCAAAGACAGTCTCAAAAACATGGTTTGAAATCGCTGGTGTTTCTGACGTCACAAACTACCTTGTAACCAATCAGATCAACGTGTGATCGTCAACCAGTGGATCTCTGAGCTGAGTGAGTGAGTGAGTGAGTGGGGCGGGGCTCATTTGCATATTCATATTACCGCGAATACTAAATGAGGCAATGAGTTTCAAAGTTAACTGAGATGTAAAATATTTTACAAAAATAAGTTATTTCAACTATAGTTGCAAAAGCAGCATTTTAATTTAGTTCAACTTGATGTCGACCCTACTAAAAATAAACATGATTAAAAACCAGACATTAATGCAAATTACACAAATACTAAAACTTTAACTCAAATTGGTTAGCCATTAAGGCCATTCAAAATATATTTTTAAATTGATAGGCCTATGTCAATGACACTAAAATAACCTTGAAACAAGCCGTATGTCTCATGCAGTGTTGCTTCTCAAGTCTACGGTTTTTTCAAGGATTTTGAGATATTTACTAGAAAACAACTCAAAAATATGAATTAAAAACGCATTAAGAGTTCTAATCACTTGAATGTTTCTAACAGAGCAGATACTGTATCTGTCAGAATGACTGAACGCATTGCAGATGATCCAACAGTGTTTTTCAAACTTAAAAAAAAAAAACAGTAGATGTTTGGTTTCTGCAACCTCTTCGGTCTCTTTCCCTTCGTTACCGTCCATCTTCCTCTCGCTCTCTGCTGTGTTTTCTGTCACAGATCGCCACAGGTGACCGGATCATTGATCGAGACACACACACACGACAGGAAACAGCTGTCAGACCCACTGAGAGACAGAGAAACACTTATACTATAGAAGCAAAGGAGATATATTTAGCACAGGCCATGAAACGGAAGAGTGATGAAGACTGCGAGCAGAGACGAGTTTCATCAGAAACACAACCGGCGTAATTGTGAGACGCACGTTACTCTGTCCATTGACCTGAACACTCAGACATCGAGTCATTATGAATAATTTATGAACGGCAGGCAGAGCATCCAACTCATATTTCATTAGATTCAGGCAGCATTCACACGCACTCGTTCACGAGACGGAAACATGTCGCGGTGATCTCCCGGGAATACAGCGACTGCATGCATTTCTTAAAGAGTTGAAAAGTGACCTCTGCGTGCCTATTCAAAGGGTTAAATGAAGTACACACTACATGAGTTTTAAGTTTGCATCAAAGAGTCTTGCCAAAGTGAACTGAGAATGTTAGGATCTTCGGACTCAATGCAGTCAAGAATGATCGTGTGTAATCGACACACCTGATTGGTTACTGTAAAGCAAAATGAAACAAAAACTGGGAGTTTTTAAATATGCACGGGTTAAAATGTTCATTATTTACATATACGTTCATGGCGTCCCAAACCTTTATGGCGCACCCAAAAATGTTTAATTGGTGACACTTTAAAGATATATTTTGAAACCTTATTGTAAAGTGTTAATAAACTTTTAAACATTTTGAAACTTTAAAACATTCCCACAACAGATGCTGTGCAAGATACAAATTTGTACAGGTGTGTGTGTTTAGAAATTTTTGTTGGATGCAATTAATCACAATTAATTTTATTAATAGATTTATTTGTAGGCTATATAGTGTGTGTGTGTGTGTGTGTGTGTGTGTGTGTGTGTGTGTGTGTGTGTGTGTGTGTGTGTGTGTGTGTGTGTGTGTGTGTGTGTGTTTATTTAAAAAATGTAACCGATTTCAACTTCATTTTTTAAGTTATACAATATTCAACAAGGCAAGATTGTTTTAAAAATTTGTTTAGTAATAATGATAGTACAGCCAATTTACTTAAAAAGGGTTAACCCATGTCATCTACAGGCAATATTGCATGAAAGTCATGTTAACAAATAAAAAATAAAAATTGTGTTATGGGAATAAATACAGATTCTTTAAATCATATGAAATGCTTTGCTCGAGGGCACAGAGGTTCAGGTTACAGAAAAGTTTACAGCTCACATTCTGGAGTTGATATAAAGTTAACTCTTGTGTCAGTCCAGATCTCTGATGTCTGATCCCTCCTCCTAACTAAAGCTACACACCCGCAGCGCAGAGTCACAGACGTCTCATTGTCAGCATCCCACAGGAGTCTGCGGGATTCACAGGTTACATTCTCACGGCAGGTGAAACTCCCACGCGTTTCTGCTGTCGCTCTGTGGTGTGTCTGCAGCCACAGAAGCTTAGGGACGTTACTCTACTTCACTTCACTCACAGGAATGGGATATTACAGTCAGAACTGGAAGGAAATGTGCTTAAAGTCACTATGAAATCAAAACGGACTATTTTTATTTTTTATGGAAATAATTTATTGTTGCACATCATTATGTTTTTTAATCTTTGTGCCGTTGTAATCTTTAATCACGATAACTTCCCCTCTCCCTCTTGCAGCTCTTCTCTTCTCTGATGACGAGGGCGGGGCAACCTGTCAATCACACAAGATCAGCCAATAGCAAACCACAACCATCCAATCAATTCCCCATGAACAAAATCAAGCCCCGCCTACATTTGTTCTTGTTCCAGATGTGTTTCACTCGGATATACGGCACAATAAAGAAGAAAAGACCAGCGCAACATCCTTTTTATGACGACTTCAATTGTCAAGTAAATAATAGCTGTTTACCACAATGCTAAACGTTCAACTTGACTTTCCTTTTTTGAGGAGTATGAATGAACCAGAAAAAAAAATCAACCATGAATTTACTACTTTTTTGACTTGCGTTATCGGCCAGTCAAGAGTTGAGAAATTTAGAAATCGAGAAAACACAGAATTGGATTATGGTTTGTGTAAATGTAAAGTATAATTTCTTTATGCATTTTTAGGAAAACCTCTCCTTAAATAAAATAAAATAAAATGAAATAAAAAAAAGGGGGACAAATCAACACAAATACAAATCTAAAAGGGTTTAAAAATACACTGTAAAAAAATGATCATGATTTTAACGGTAAAAGACTGTAAAAATGATACGGTGAAAAACTGTTAATTGGTTAAGAACGTTTTCGTACTATATATGGTGAATCTGTACATCTAATGTAGGCTACTTTTACAGTAAATTACTGTTAAATTAGCAGTTTTTGGAAGTGAAAAAGAACAAGTCATTGTATAATTTACAGAGAAAAGCTGTAAATTTGCATTCCCACGATTCCCTGCGTGACACTTCACATTTTATGTATTTTTGTTGAAAGAACTGTTTCCTCATGGTTTATCTTAGTTTTTTCTAATCAGTTATGTACATTAGGGATTTATGTTACAATAAATGTTGTTAAATGAATGTTTATTGCATTTTTTAAATTTCATGTGTGTTACCATGATGGCGTTTAGTGTTTGTGTGAATGACACTGTGCAGCTTCTATTTATTAGTAATATCTTTCATGCTTGTGATGAGCTTTCAATCATCATGGGACCTTCATCATCGCTGTGGTTGGCAATTGACAGTGAATTACAATGGTACAAAACAGATATGGTACTTAAATTTAAAGTAAAAAAACTATTTAGCTAACTGTTTTAAGTCAAGTCTGTAAAACCTAAAATGTTTCTACCGTATTAGATCTGGAAACCACAGCTGCCGGATGCAACACTTTTGTGCATTAAGCAGACACTTTGTTTTACCCAACGTGACTTACAAAACATTCCCAATAAACATCTCGAACAATAGCATGCAAAAATGTGGGCGCCGGTCACAAAAACATGGTAAAAATTGTAGCCGATAATTCAGCACACTGGAAACTAAAGTCAAGTCAAGAGCATGTCCTGTGGGATCCAGTATCCTGCAGCTCTGTTGTATCCTGCATTTTTTGACAAATGTTCAACTTGAAATGGACATCACATTTTGTGTGTGTGTGTAAATCAATAAAATGATAAGCTTTTATAATATGAGTTGTGATAATGATAAAAATGATAATATTCAAAGTTAATTTGAAATCTTTTAGATTGGTAGAACACATTTTTTGTATGTTTAATGTTAGTTGTGTGCCAGTTTCTGAATTTTTTCAAAGCATTCCAAAAGCTAAAATACAGAGAAATTCTAAATATTATTTTTTTATGAACATTAATGTTTATTAATTATTATGTTGTGACCATTAACTGTCAGTTTTTCATTAATTTCAGTGAAAAACAGATGAAAACATGATTTTTGAACACAGTGAACACACTCTCTTTCTCTCTCTATCTCTCTCTCCCCCCAGCAAAAAGAATCAAAGAGTTTTTTGAGACTTCATCTTATCTTTTTTTCAACATTCATATAGCATTGCTCATTGTTACAGTATGTTTTAATCTTCAACGTTAGTTCAAATACTGTGTTAAAATATGATTATTTTATGTTTCTTTAATAGTGTTAAACAGTCCATTGTAACAAAAACATCTAATAATTTTTTTTTTTTTTTAAGATTAATTTCTACACTGGAGAAGAGCAAGTATCAAGTAGATAAACAAAAATTTCTCAGTGGACAAAATTCAGGTGTGAAGGGGTTAATGCTGCGCTACATCATTGATCTCGGAAGTAGGAAGTCGTAGCTGGGAATTACGTCACACTCGAGTTGACGGAGCACAAGTCGGAAAAACCAACATGGAGGCGTCCAAGGAAACCTTTGTTGTGCTTCCAGTTTCGCAATACAAACAACTACAGAACAAATACGAAGTCCACGTAAAAAACATCACGGAAGAAGAAAGGAGGCGCAGAAGGTGGGCTGTGTTTCGGTGTATTTCAAAACGGCATTTTAATCGGTCGTTTTGTAACCAGCACTCAAAGGGTGGGGGCTCGTTTTAATAATTCCGATTTCATTTTAGTCTGCAACATGACATATGTAAACCGTATGTCATATTGAATGTGCTTAAACAAGATGAGAACTCATTTTGAACTTTGTGTAGCAAAGCCCTTCAATTAGTAACTGTACTATGACTGTATTTTTTACTTAAATACAGCTTTTCTCTGACTTAGGATACTGATATCCTCTGTGTTGCGATCAACACAGCGACTCATCCTGAAGAATGAGGCTGATGGGGAACTCGGAGAAACCGCAGAAACAACAACATCCCCGACTTCAGAAAGCAAAATGGCTGCTCAGCGCCTCAACAGTACGTTAAGTGAAACTAGGAATACAACGTTAATGTTTATTAGTAGTCTGTCTGTGTCTCAAACTCAGTGGTGCACAGAGTAACTTACTATCCAAACTCTGTCTGTGGACATGATGATGATACTTCGGCATTTTCTGTGTAGAACACTAGTGATTCGTTCGACTTCAAAACTAATAGTTTTCCGAACTGGATCTCACGGAATCGAACTTTAGTTCTGGATTGATGACGCAAGCACGCACGCTCCTTACGCAGAGCCAATAAGCATGTCCAGACGGGTTATTGAATCAAAGAACCGGTTCGAAATAATGAATAAAAAAGAACCGACTCAGAAAGAAGCGAATGAGTCGGTTCTAACTGTCGAAGTTTTCTGAGTATTATTATTATCTGTTTATAGGCTGATAAATGGAGGTTTTGAAATTGTTCACAGTTTATCTGTAAATTACTTTGTGAACATGGAGAGTTGTTTGTTCATGTTCATTCATATAAATGAACTAGTGAATGAACTAACACAAAGCATTAGGCCTACAGATGTTATGTTAAACGGATGGTTCACCCAAAAATTAAAATTTTGTCATTACTTTCTCACCCTCAAGTTGTTCCAAACCTGTATGAGTTTCTTTCTTCTGTTGTACACAAAAAGAAGATATTTCGAAGAATGTTGTTGTTAGCCAAACAGTTGACGGCACCCATTGACTCCCATAGTAGGAAAAAAAAATACTAACGAAGTCAATGGGGTCCATCACCTGTTTGGTTACCAACATTCTTCAAAATGTCTTATTTTGTGTCTTCAACAGAAGAAATTAGCTCATAAAGGTTTGGAACAACATGAGGGTGAGTAAATTATGACAAAAAATCCTATCCTTTTAACAGTGTTTACATTTTTCTAGTATATTTGGACAACAACGTGAACATGTTCATGGATCCCGAGAGGAGCACTGCATTCACCGGTCCCTTGTACCAGACGGCAGCAGATCCCACCACATACTACATGAATGAGGACATGACAATCATGATAAACATGGTTGAAGCTGAAGACTTGCATTCCGTAAAAGGTTAGATAACAATAATGACAATGTTAGTAATGTCATGTTTGCTAACCTGTTGCTTTTTTCCTGGTGTTTTAGAAAGCCAACAGGAGAACAGTGATGCTGCATCCAACACATTACCATCACTCATTCCACTGCCAGCGAATGATGGCTTCAACAAAGAGCAAACTTTGTTTTTGATCAACCTTATGCGGCAGCACATCGAGAGAGAAGGCGAGGGTCTCCCGAAAACGCTGGAGGAGCTGAACGCACGGCTTAAATCTGCAATGCGCAGTAAAAAGCATCTGTGGAGAGATGCTGCGGATAAGTTGTCCAGCCATTTCTTGCAGTCTTTCTGCCCTGACAAGGTGGCCAGGAAGTGGAATACACTTATAGAGGCCTACAAAAAAATAAAAGATAGCAATAAACCTAGAGAGAAGGGGAGTATCCGCTTCAAGTTTTATACGGAAATGGACGCTCTTCTGGAAAGGCAGCAAGAAGTGGTTTTTCCTGTCGTCGGGACATCAGTTGGTCTGAAGGTGCGCAGACCTGAAGCTTTAGGACAGTGTAGCAGTGACACCGCATTGACTTCGCCGACTTCCCCAGCAACACCACCTCTGAAGCGTCAAAGGGTGGACTGTGAACTGATGCAGTTTTTGCAGGACTCGGAGGAAGCATGTCAGCGGCGTCATGAGGAGACTCTAGCACAACTACGGTCTGCTCAGCAGGGTTTCGAGACTCTCATGACAAAATTGCTGGACAAATTGTAATCGTTTTGTCATTTAAAGTTGTGTATGTAACTTATTTGGAGAGCTTAAGAGAAACTGTAATGTGTGTTATATGTATGTTTTGATGTTGCACAAGTGCCATTTGGATTATATTTTTTGTTTTTGCGGCAAAGAATAATTCTGCAATGTTTTGTACAAAGTACATTTTGAACAAATTTTTTTTTTTTTTAAAGAGTCATATTTTTTACTTTGTGTCAGATTCTATGTCTTGTGATAGCAGATAATTGTTTGGATTTTCCTGTAAAGTTCATACAATAAAGACTCAGACCAGAAGGCATGACTGTAATTAAATCATTTTTGTTTATTACTGAAGTTTATTTGCATTTTTAAAGTGCAGAAGTCGGCAACTCATATTGTTCAAAAAGTGGAAATATAAAACACATTCAAATACTAGACAGTTTGAAATATTCTTTTAACATTTACAACATAACCTGAATAAATCCACTATATATATATATATATATATATATATATATATATATATATATAAAAATATAAAGTGAAAATAGCAGTTTTTTATTTGCTCCAAGTGTAAATGATTTTTAGATGATATGAATGGTATCCCTGTCTGATATCATATATGCTGATAACAGATATCCCTGGCTGGGATAAGAACCAAAACTGTCGAGGTAACTAGGTGAGTATATATATATATAAGCTTCAATCCTCTTGAGCTGATTGGATAGATAATTTGAACGTGCTCCTCCCGAGCTTTGTTTATAAAACATAATTTGTCGCTTAAATTCTGCAATCTCTCGAGACGCAGACTGAGGCTGACGATTAGCTGATCTTTAATTGAATATGGCAACATTTACCTCGTTCATTCAATATTTCTTTTTTTAAGGCTATGTTTACACGCAAAAGTGGCGTTGCGTTATCACTTTTTATTCTGCGTTTAGACGAGCGTTATGGGAAATCCGCGTGCATATGGTGATGCAAAAGTGTGTGAAATTCGATATAGTATGCACTCCAGGCGGCTAGGTAGCAATGTGAAGCACTGCCACACAACAACACCAAGTCCGCGCGCCTGCGTACAACCTTCACTGTCTAGCAGACTTTTGCGTTTTTACCCTTTAGACGGGAATGCGACGGTGGAGCGTTTTTAAGATTTTCACTCTGGAGGGTGGTTTCATTTTTTTGCGTTTTTAAGCCCCAAAAACGCTGATAAAATATTTGTACGTTTTTACCCGCGAGCGTTTTCGTGTAAACAGGGCCTAAATCACTGACAGAGACTCCTCCCCCATCAGCCAAACACTGTGTGCATAGTTAGTAAAAGTGTTGACATCAGCCTAGCAAGTAAGATAAAATGTTTTGTGAATATACGCCCCCTGATCGATTTTCGAAGGCAGCAAAGATGTATCCTTCGCCGCTTTTGATATCCCACAATCCTGCGCTCTCCATAACTTCTATAGGGCTTGGGCGTCGTGACGTCATTACTTGACGTGGCCGCCATGTTGGTAGCCTCGCGAATGTAAACATACAGCAAGTCGAACGAGGAGAAGCAGAGTTGGGAGAAAGAAAAAATATGTTAAAATCCCTAAAAGGATGTGGGATTTACGGGGATACGTTACATAGAGAAGCCAGGGAACGGTATGTGGACAAAATCTGCACTATTAACGGTTTGGATCCATATGAAAGAAGCTGTCAACCCTCCCGTTTTTTTCCGGGTTTCTCACGTATTTGAGCTTTCGCCGTCCTCCCGTTTTAGTATTTTCCTGTAAAATATCCCGTATTTTAATACTCTAATAACATTAACGTTAGCCCTTCCATCTGACCTGTCAGTCTCTGTACTGTTGTCCTGTTGCCCTTCCAGCGAAACAGATTTTCAAAGCATGGTTTTGCTTACTAACTTAATTGTTTTGCTTAAAACAGCTTCTAACTACACTTTTGAAACACATAGTTAAAAGTACATGTGTGAATGGTTGTTAGCACTAACGGTTACTAAACTAGCATCTAGGTGGAGCGCAGCTTAAAGTTACCTTTGTCCGGATTACTGTGTTCCCAACACCTGTTCTTTGTTGGAAATTTCATATGGAACCAAACTGTTAATAGTGCAGATTTTGTCCACATGCCGTTCCCTGGCTTCCCTATTTAACGTATTTAACGTTCCCACATCCTTTTAGGGATTTTAACATCTTTTTTCTTTCTCCCAACTCTGCTTCTCCTCGTTCGACTTGCTGTATGTTTGCATTCCCGAGGCTACCAACATGGCCGCCACGTTCCAGAATGCAACGCGGCACTCAAGCCCTATTCATGACAGTTAAGCTTAAAAAGAAAGATGGCGTTTGAAAGTTGCGGTTGGTGGTCAGTTTGTGTGTAAATCTATGTTTTTAACCAATGTTTTCCACTTTTGATGTCCTTTCTAGAGAGAAATTACTATTATAGAAATTAAATTTTAGTTTAATTATTACTTAAGCTCACTCTATTTTGCTGTAGATCATTTAACCGTTACGCTGGCTCGGAAGTCACACTATTTGCTCTATTTATACAACAAAACGTCATAGAATAGTGCACAAGTACGAGAATTGGGACGTTATAATGGGGGGATTCGCAAGCGTGCAGAACGTTTTGAGTGGATTCTGACCAACAATTTAAACACCTCTGATTGGTCAGAAGATTAGCGGACATGTTTGTGATTGGCTTCATTGCTCAACGCTACAAAAACACGTTGTAAACAGAGGCGTTTGCCAAATCTGTTTCTCCAATATACTGTATAATTACAGTATCAACTGAGGGAACTTTAACCACGTAGAACTGGGCTTAGACCTTGACTATGTTCTCTTTTATGCTGTTTTACTGCAATTTCATCATGAGATATTCAAACTGCAAAGCGCAAGATTATCTCAAATGGGCTCGCGTCTGTGGTCTTATCTCCTCCAGAGTCCTGCAAGATGAATCTTCAGCGTCTGTGGACGACCTGCGGTTACTGACACATGAACCAGAAAGCTGAAAAAACTCATTAAACTTTATCGTAGAAACGCACTGGTTATCTTACAAACGTCCCTCTGCCCGTTCAGAGAATGAAAGTGCTTTCACGTCGCCGAACAGAAAACACATTCATTCACATTTCAGGTTCAAGCTGGACAATAAATCGCTGCTTCTGCCACCAGAAAAAGCAGAGTTATTTAATCTAGACAATAGATTTCTGATTACAAACAGAAGAAGAAGAAGAAACAGTAACAAATCTTCAGATGGTTTTAAACAATCTGTATACAGAATTGATATTTTACAGCATTATAAAACCAACAACAAAGTGGGTTCAAATCTCTCTCTCTCTCTCTCTCTCTCTCTCTCTCTCTCTCTCTCTCTCTCTCTCTCTCTCTCTCTCTCTCTCTCTCTCTCTCTCTCTCTCTCTCTCTCTCTCTCTCTCTCTCTCTCTCTCTCTCACACACACACACACACACACACACACACACATCTACGTCCATTGTCTCTGTGCATCTCTGACCACTACAAGACAAGCTACATATGATTTTGTCAGTGTTTTTGATTAGAAACTCTCAGTGAATCAACCAACACTAAGTTACTTATAAATATAACCAAAAACACCAAACAACTCAAAGCACAGCGAGGAATCAGCATGGCCTCCTTATCAGAATGAACAACCACACATACCTGATCACCGTTCACCTGACAGCAAATCGAATGCCACATCGACACCTGTCACATGCCTTTCAATCCTCCTGCCCTTCAAAATAAAGCTCTCGTAAACACAAAAAAGGCCCCGATTTTAATGTTCCGCCAAGAACGTTTTATTCACTGTGTTCTAGGAAATATGAAGCACCACAACCGTTTTCAACACTGATAATAATCAGAAATGTTTCTTGAGGATCAAATCATCATATTAGAATGATTTCTGAAGGATCATGTGACACTGAAGACTGGAGTAATGATGCTGAAAATACAGCTTTCATCACAGGAATAAATTACATTTTAACGTATATTCACATAGAAAACAGCTATATTAAATGGTAATACTTTTTCAAAATATCACTGTTTTTACTGTATTTTTCATCACATAAATGCTGCCTTGATGAGCAGGAAACAGACTTCTTTTAAAAACATTAAAACACGTTCTTGAGAGTTTAATGAGAAACGCTTGAGATCTCTGACTTTTGACTGCAGACTTTGGTATCCTAGCAGAAAACAGTTTGAGACGTTGAGTCACGTGTGTGGTTTCTGGGGTTGTTTTGCTGGAGAAACGTAGAAAACATCTCAGAAGCAAGCGCTGGAGAACTCACTGGGTTAAAGTGTCTCTGTTGAATAAACGGTAAAAACATCACTTTACTTTGAGCGTTGACGTTTACACAGACACCAGACCCGCAGCCATGACAACATCACCACGGTTACCACACGCTGGTGGCAGTTGACGTGCCAAATGTCAGCCTTTAAAAGCTGAATGTTAACTGGGCGGACAAGCGCTGAAAAGGTGTGTGTTTGAGAGTAGGAGGCGGATTTCCATCTGATTATCCTAATGGCTGAAAATAGCACATGTGAAGCCAACGCTGACAGAAGAGACACACGAGGAACAGGACGCTGGGAGATAGTTAGCATTAGCCGCTTTCTCCTACATTGATTTATCACTTATACTGACAGTTTGAAGATAGCATCACGTGATGCTGTAGAGGACGAGGTCATCAGACAGGTCATTAAATCATCCATTTCATGGGTCATATCATGGAAAAAGACATTTGATGGACTATGTGACATGCTTAAACTTTCAGAAATCACACATAAAAAAACTAACATCATGTCTATTGTGGAGGACAAGGTTGTCTTGAGATCGACTTCCAAAAAAAAGAAAATGACCTCATTAACATATGGCCACATATTTGCATATCAGCACCATTCAGCCATATCACCATTCTGCCATATCACCAATGCACCATTGCCAGCAGCCATATCACCCTGTAGCCCAAGACTGGTTGCCCACTGAAGCTAAGCAGGGCTGAGCCTGGTTAGTACCTGGATGGGAGACCTTCTGAGAAAACCAGATTGCTGCTGGAAGAGGTGTTAGTGAGGCCAGCAGGGGGTGCTCACC